AAGCCAGACTACATATCGATTGTTATAGTTTTAAAGATTTTGTAAATTTCCCAAAGAAGTATCTAATTATCCGTTTACATTTAATTTTAAAAAAAGTAAAACTAGGTTTGCACTTCGATCCTATGCACACTGAGAAATCACTTCATTAGTAGGACCAGGATAAACAGTCATGAGTTCCTCCTAATTTCAAAACTGCTTTGTTTTGGACAACAGTGAATCTTGTGAGCCGGGGACTTCCAGTGGCGGGAAAAAGGAATGGCAGCCTGAACACTTCGCTCCGCTCACCTGGACTCACACCTACCCCCCAAATCGATCAAACCTGTGTCGTCAACTTCTAATTTATGGGGACTGAAACCGGAACAACTCAGCACCCGAACCAGAAAAAACAAAAGAAGCTACAGTTATTCGATTCGGAGCCACAGATAGGTCTATCTACCGGCCTTCACGATGTACCGATTGACAAAATGGCGTCGGGCATTAATACGACAGCCAAAAACTCAACGGCTATAACAGCCACAGACTTATCCAATGCCCTTATTAATATGGAAAAAACGTTTTTGAGCACATCGCTGGTATGTTTAAGCCACTTTTCATGCAAAAAGATCTGTCTGATACGAGGAATATAGCTGAAGGAGTGTTACAACGAAGTATTCATAATCAAAACTAAATCCAACAAATTCAAACGACCGAAGATCTCTTAGCAGAAAAAATGCTACGATTAGACTTAACAAGAAGACAAAACAACTTTAAACGTCACCCGGAACCTTAAACGTCACCATAGAGTTTTCCATCGGATGACCGTGGCCCCGCCCCCAGCGTGCCCGGTATGGTCGCATCACTTCCAGGTGACGCACACGTCGGGGTGGGGCTCCCCCCGGGGCTCGATCCGCCGCCAGCGGGGAACAGGCCTCTGGGGCAGGGGTTTCCTCGCCCCCCAGGGGGACTTGGCAACCCTATTCCAAACCTACCACAAACATAAAATTAAATGGATCCATCACAAAAACTATCACGCTCCAAAAAGGTACCAGGCAGGGGTGCCCACTCTCCCCCCTTTTATTTGCTTTAGTTATCGAACCTTTAGCACACACGATAAGAGCTAATGCATCCATCACGGGCATTAAATTAAAAGAAAAGGAATACAAGTTGTCCATGTTTGCAGATGATATGTTGATATGATATGTTATTTTTAACCCCGAAATTTTATGGAAGGAGTCCAAGACTTGCAGCAAAGATGGTAAGGTTGAAGCAGGCTTAGTAATGTATATATGAATGTATATTACTAATGTATATTACTAAGCCTGCTTCAACCTTACCATGTATATTACTAATGTATATTACTAATCCTGCTTCAACCTTACCATCTTTGCTGCAAGTCTTGGACTCCTTCCATAAAATTTCGGGGTTAAAAATTAATGATTCAAAATCTCAAATATTACCTATTCACATTGACTCTGACGTTCAGGGAAGTTTGAAGAACAAATTTCAATTTACATGGGTTTCCTCACAACTACACTGTTTGGGAATTAATATCCCAACTGATTTATCAAAATTACTCCTAACTAATCATCATGGTTCATAAAGAAATACAAAATACCATTCTCAAATGGGACAAATTGAACCTACCATGGATAGAACGGTATCACCTTGTCAAATCTTTTATTCTACCCAAATTTTTATTTTTATTCAGGGCCATACCAGTCAACATTCCCCACAGCACTCTAAGAAATTGGCAGGCAACTCTGCGGAATTTCCTTTGGGATGGGAAAAAACCTAGAGTACGGTATCAAACCATGCGAAGATGCAAAAGCCGGGGTGGATTTAACCTACCTGATCTTCTTTATTATCATAAAGCTACTTTTCTGGCCAATGTACATCCAAATAATACACCTGAATGGGTTCAATTGTGTTCAGATCAACTCTCCCCTCATACAATTGACGGACTAATTTGGGATAAACCCCCATTACATCTCACTGGGGTGAGAGACAACATTATCCTATACCCATCCATATATTTATGGAAATCCCTCAGTAAACAACTTCTCCCAGAAGTCTCTAGATACGCCAACCATGGTTTTCCAGACATGTTCCGCCAAAAATCCAATCCAAGTGGAGAGAAGCTAACATAACACGTTTCTGTGACATAGCTGACAAAAATGGAATTCGTCCTAAAATTATATTAGAACAAAAGTTAGGGGTTGATATCCCCTGGTTTTTATATCTTCAACTCCAACATATTGTGAGTGCGTACAAAATCAGAACAAATATATCTCGGCCACACACAGGGTGCGTTCAGATGGGGGATTTACAATGGTTAGGGTGCCGGTTCCAACCGGTGTACTTACGGGCGTTCACACGGCGAACATCTCCCTCCCGTCCCTAACCGTTGTAAATCCTTTTAAACCGTTGCACTCTGCCACTAGGTCCCAAGTGGTGGTAAACTGAGTGCAACGGTTGAAAACGGTGCACCCCGGCGTCTGATCGCTCTCCAAACGTTGTACAGCCACTTCCGTCGGAAGCCTGAGGCTTCCTTTCCCCTGCCATTTTTTTTAAAAAGTAAGCGATATGCACTCGGGCGAAGCTTCGCCCCGAGCGTTAGTTAAGAAAAAAAAAAGCCCTTACTTTAACTTTAACTTCCCGGGACTACAGGGAGGCCAGGTTGAGCTTTAAACTTTAAAGGTAAGTCCTTACCTTTAAAGTTTAAATGTAATGGGTGGGGTTGAGCATGCGCAAAAATCGCCATTCTCTGAATGGCTGCCTATGCGCATGCTCAAACTGTCCTTAAAAAAAAAAACGCCGACGCCCACAGCGTGTGAGCGGGCGTCCACCGGAGGGATCCGCAAAATGGAGGGTAAGTGTGATCGCGTTTCTGCCGGCATAAACTGCACCGGTTCCAACCGGTGCAGTTTATGCTGGCAGAAACGCCCCATCTGAACGCACCCACAGAGTTGGAGATCGTCATTAAAATATTCACTACACAGAACAGAGGAATGATATCTGCTATATATAAACTTCTTTTTAAAAAATCAGCCCCCCAAAACCTATCCTATCAAGCAGCCTGGCAACGGGAGTGCAATATTACACTGGATGATGAAACTTGGCACAATATCTGGTCCTCCAAAGGCTGCACTCCACGCTCCATTCCAATGGACCTACATAGGTTTAAAATCCTGTCCAGAAGGTATTTAGCTCCTATAAGACTGTCACATATGTCACCATGCTCAGGGGTCGTTTCGTAGAAAAAGAGCTAGGGGAACTCATTAGCATAACTCATTAGCATATGCCACACCCCCTGACATCACCGGAAGTGTGTCATAAAGCCATACCCCCTGACATCACCCTGTGCTTTTACTTTAGTCTTAACACAGAACCTGGAGTAGAGATGCTCTGCCAATCCTATATCAATAAACTTTCCTTCTGAAGAAGCAATTTGTTGGTTCTGATTGTTGCAGGAGTCTGACAACAAATCTGACATCAAGAATCACAAGACTGAGAAACCTGTTGGAGAACACTTCAACTTTCCAGGACATTCAGTGGGTGACCTCCAAGTAGCTGTTTTGTTGCAAAGGAATTTCAGGAACAGAAAAGGGACATTGCTGAGTTGCAAGTTATCACAACACTCAGAAAAATAGAATTCCCCATGACTTAACAGGGATATTGGTTTGTTATCTCACTACATATGCTAACCACATTCAGTCCTTGCATCTGTATTCTCACCAATCCCCCAGAAGGGCCATACAGCCTCATTATGTTATTATAGTTCTTATTTGAAAGAGTAGATTAGAATAGTAGATCGTAATGTAACATAATGAATAGTAGAATATAACGTAATTTGGAATGGTAGATTAGAATGTATTTTTCTGGGGACAGGGGAGATAATTCTCGACAGCCAATTGCCCCACTTCAAAGAAGAAGATGCTGTAAGGGAGTTTCCATGCTTGAGAGGAGACTGATGGAGCATAATGGCAGGGTCTCAATCAAGGAAACATCTGCCCATCAATCTCCAATTCGTACATATTTATTTCCTTCACTATGGTTTTCCCTGGAATTAAACCCAGACAAATGGTAACCATATAAACTAAATTTGTTATTCCTGTTTGGCCCCCAAACATAGAATACCACCACCACAAACAGATACTTGAAATTATGTTATATGCTGCAAGATTCTCAATAGCTTCACATTTGGAAGGATCCCTCCCCTCCCAATATTCAAGTATGGTTCCGCAAGCTCTGGGATCAATTCATTATGGAAAGTATCACAGACAAACTAAACAATACCGCCAGTAACCCCTTGATATCAAACTTTAATGTGAGGTGGTTTCCTATTCTTGATTTCTTATCCTCGACAGAATTTATTTCATCTTCATGGAAAAATTACTTACAATGGTTCTAATATCACACGGTAACAAGGTGTAGATTATTCAAATGTCTTATGCATAAATAAATCTATTATCTCTTAATGTTATTCTAACTTACAGTTAGATTGTTCTGCTCTGCAATGTTAACATTTTGTATCAAGTCTTTTAACTATTCAAATTTATACCACAGTGGAGATTCTCCACTTGTTAATGTTATAAATGGAATTATGTTTGTTTTTCTTGTTTAATATTTGTATTTCCAAATAAAATTATTATTCAAAAGAAGAAGAAGAAGAAGAATCTTGTGAGCCGGGTCACATAGTGCTTACAAAGCGGTTTCCTATTTAATAAATTGCGACTCTGCTCGGTCCTAGTGCCGTTTACGCATGGGAAGCATTCATTTTAGTCCGAAAATCACGCATCGTTTTTATTGGGCAACGCTGTACGTAACTGTTTTAAAATCTAAAAGGTTGTTTGGAATCAAGCTGGAATTCCTGCCGGCACAAATAAATCCTGTTGTGTAACTGCAGTTTACACCGTTTGCTTTTCTCCCTCCCCTCCCACCGGCAGAGGGAAATGGTTTGCTCTAAGCGACAGGCCAGTGCGAGGCGAAAGGAAGCGAGTGCACGTGAGTGGGTCCTCGGCGGAGTGAGTCCAACTCTGGCTGTTTTTGCATTTGTCACGCAGTGGGCGCTGTGATGGGGAAGAAGTCCCGACTCGGCCGGTTCAAAGCCTGCCGGTCAGCAGTTCGGAGCCCATGACGAGAAGCAAAAGGACGAGGAGCAACCAGACAACGGAGGCCTGTTTCCTTGGAACAGCCTAGCCGGTAAGTAAGCTCCCTCTCCCCCCCCCCCCCCCCCGCCCTTTCGCACCTCAACAGGGAAACCGCCGCAGAGGGTCTCCCTTGTCAGTTTCCGCTCTGGTGTCGTTGCGTTCCTTGCAAGATGATCGGGGGTGTCGGAGAAGAGGCGGCTCACTTGGGCTCTGCCCTGTGTTTTCAGAGACGTTCTGGATTCATGCTTAGAAACGGGGAAAGGCGTGGTAGAGTTACCGTTAATAGTTCTTTCTGGGCACCAGGGGAACCCCGCCGAGAGATCTGTTGTTTGTTTTCCTCCTCTTTGGTAACACGGCTGTAGGGTGTGTGCGAGAAACCTGGCCCTAAAAATTAGAGCCAAGGCCCGGCCACTGGAGCGGAAGCGGGCCCTCCCCGGTGAACACGTCGTCGCGTCCTTTGATCGCGTTAACTTAAATGTTTTCTCAAGTTTTGAGGGGTTACCTCTCTCTTTTAAAGTTTCTACCCAGGCACACGCTCACTTCTCGAAACTGTTTGCCGAAGGCAAATATAGGCCATTGAACACCGTTGAAAGTTGACCATCTCACCCCCCCCTTCCCTAAGGAATGTGGTTGTTTTGTTCACTGGTGGTGGTAGCAAAACACAGGGAGCTGCCTTCTGCTTAGGAATGCCTGCCTCCAGGGGGGGACCTGGGGATCCCCTGGAATTACAGCTCATCTCCGGACTACAGAGATCAACCCCCCCTGGAGAAAATGGATGCTTTGGAGGCTGGACTCAGTGGCATTGCACCCCACTGTGGCCCCTGTCCTCCCCAGGTTCCATCCCCAAATCTCCAGGAGTTTCCCAACCTGTGTCTTATAACCTTACCCCCCCCCACCCCCGCCTTCACTGGTGGCTAAGGGGGACCTGGCAACCCTGCTTCTACTGAATCAGACTCTTGATCCATAAAGGTCAGTGTTGTCGAGTCAGACTGGCCGCAGCTCCCCAGGGTCTCAGGCAGAGGTTTTTCCCATCAGCTCCTAACTGATCTTTTTTATTTGGAGATGCCAGGGATTGAACCTGGCCCTTTAGCATGCCAGGCAGATGCTCTGCGGCTGAACCACAGCCCCTTCCTGTCAGGTACAAGTGTTAGGTGAGCAAAACTGTTGAAAGGCCTCCGCGTTTTGTTGTTGTTGTTGTTGCTTGACTAGGTTTGAATTGTGCATAACTACATTTAACACTGTACTTGACCGGCTGTTTGTTTTTGTACTCCTGTAAAAAGTCTACCTAATGAGGATCCATTCACTGCATCTGACAAAGGCAAAAGCTTGTGCAGGTGCCACTAGACTCCTCTGTATTTGATCTCAACTGGGTGTCTTTCATTCTAAAACATCGTATTAACATGCGTTAGGAAAACAATAACAGAAAAGAATTCTGGAGCATATTTCACTGCTGTTGTAGGCTCTTTTTTTGCCATCAAGAAGCAGCTGACTTACGGCAACCCCGTGGAGTTTTCAAGGCAAGAGATGTTCAGAAATGGTTTGCCATTTCCTGGCTCTGCATCACGACCCTGGTAATCCTTGGTGGTCTCCCATCCAAATACTGACCAGGGCCAATCCTGCTTAGTTTCCAAGATATGACAAGATCAGGCTAGCCTGGGTTATCCAGACCCAGGTGTTGTAGACTACTGAAGCTCATATTTCACTTTGTTGATTTTCAACTTGGATAGGACTTTCTTGTTTATTCGTTTCAGATTCATTAACTATTAACCTTGGTAACTGTTTTCTGTAGATCTCAACATAAGCATTGACTGCATATTCACTCCTGAGGGCTAAACTGCTGGTGACTTAAGTGGAAGAGAGATTTTGGTTTGTAGTGGAACACTCCATGATGACATCAACTCCATGGGGAAAAAGGCAACTTCTATATTAGGGATTATCAAGAAAACGGAAAGTTCATATTAACATATGTGGGTGAGTGAGTGAGCTTCGTTGAATCAAATGGGACTTCATTCTGAGTAGGTCTGCTTAGGATCACTTAGCCTGCAGCTTTGTATATATCTACAGGGAGGTGGCATTAGGATATATCTACAAGGAGAGTATTGTAGAACTGGAAAAGGGTAACTGAAATGATTAAGCAGAAAAGAGCAAGAGTCCAGTAGCACCTTGAAGACTAACAAAAGACTGCCACAAATGTTGTTTTCTTGTTCTTTTCTGCTGCTACAGACAGACTAACATGGCTACCCATCTTGAAATGATTACGGATGTCATTGGCTTTCTCCCCAGTGGGCACCCAAAGCAGCTTATAACATTCCCCTCTCCTCCATTTTATCCTCCCCAAAGCCCTGTGAGGTAAATTAGGCTGAGAATGTGTAACTGGCTCAAGGTTAACTAGCGAGCTTCCATGGCAGAGCGGAGTTCTGAACTGGGGCTCCCAGATCCTAGTCTAACCACTACCTCACACTGGCTTTTGTGGGGTTGCTGCTGTTGAACGAAACTTGCTGCCATTCCCTGGTTGAGTCATGCAAGTCATGTGGTAGCAAGTTGCCCTGTAGTTGCTGCCATGCCTGGCCCCATTTGGTGGAAGGTGGTTTTAGTGTGGTCATTCAGCTTCTCTGTAAGCAAAGAAATCCACTCCGGAGTACCGAACATGGTGATTTAAGACTCCTGCTGAGTGACTTTAAACCAGACATTGGGAAACTGGTATCACTTCATCAAGCCCATCCATCATAGTAAGAATTTACTGACTAGTGAAGTAGTTACTAGATGTGGCATCTAAGATTCTTGCTAAATTACTGTCAATCAGACTTTGAAAAGCTGGTATCACTGAATTGTTGTTGTTCAGTCACACAGTCGAGTCCGACTCTTCACATCACGCCAGGCCCTCCTGTCTTCCGCCAAGTTCGTCAAAACTAAGAAGTTTAAATTGGATTTTGAATAAGTGTGTAGTTAATAAGATGCAGGTGGGTAGCTGTATCTGATGAGATGTGCAGGCACATGAAAGCTTATACCCACAGTTAAACTTTGTTGGTCTTAAAGGTGCCACTGGACTCAAACTTTGTTCTGTGCAATTTATTGTTACCGTTTTTAATTTTATTGTTATTATTGCCCTTAGTGGGTCATGCAAACAGCTGTTCTGAATAGTGCTTTTTATTGGGTAGTGTAAGAGGCACTGGGGATGAGTTTATGGAACCAGGACCTGAAAAAGTTTGGGAACTATGGTTCTATTATTTTGTGTTTGGGGGGTTTTTTGTTCTCTAAAAGATTTCAGATTTTCCTGCAAATCAGGCTTTTCTCAGGATTGCAGAATGATCTGTTCTTGTCTGTTCATGGCTCCAGTATCTGGTTGCAGTCTCTGGATTTAAGTGTCCACAGATTTTGCCACGATGAGAAAATATCTATATCTCTCTTTTTTTTTGCAGATGGCAAAGTGAATTTGGTCACTGGTCAATGTAAAGGCAAAAGTTCAAGATCCTTGTATAGACCCAACGTGTGGTTCCTCCAAGGTTCCCACAAAGTGGTTTGCAACATAAACTGAAAACATGGTTCAAGAAGATGGTGACGTGGCATCCAGATCCATTTTTGCCTGGGATTATGTTTTGTGGGAAGTTCGTCTGAAACTAGTGGTGGCTGGCTTTTTCATCTACCTGGGAGTATTTTTTCTCTCACACTACCTGTCTTCAAGGATAAGCATCACTTACCGTGCCTTGCCAGCAAAAGAGAAAGTCTTCTGGAATCTGGCTGCCACACGAGGTGTGTTTGGCATTCAGAGCTGCGTTGCTGGTTTATGGGCTTTGCTTCTAGATCCAGTTTTTCAGGCTGACAAAGTGTATTCCCAGCAGGAGTGGAGCTGGTTCAACTGCCTAATAGCCTCTGGCTTTTTTTTGCTTGAAAATGTAGCTGTTCATGTGTCTAATATTGTTTTCAGGACATTTGATTTATTCCTAGTTGTTCATCATTTGCTTGCTTTTGGTGGCTTTTTTGGTTTGGTGACCAACATAAAATCTGGACATTATATACCCTTGATGGGAATGCTACTAGAGATGAGCACACCTTTCACCTGTATATCCTGGATTCTTTTAAAGGTGAGAGATTGTTGATACAGATTCAGAACAGTCATGTGATACAGCCCAAGCTAAGTGAAGACCATATTTTTGAGTAATACAGATAATGCCAAATAAAACTGGGGGGGTGGGGTTGTCTCAGTGGGTTACAGCAACAACAACAACAATAATAGTATCTTTCAATTTATTAATTGCTCAATCCTGCAGAGTTGCTGGCTCTGAGCGATTTACAGTTGCACATGTTCACACGGGACTAACAATGATTCATAGGGGTAAAGGAGGACAACATATCAATCTTAAGTTGCACACGTTTGCAGCCGACGGGGATTTTGTTCAGCTGTAGGCTTAGATGCGTTCCAGACGGCATTCACTCGGCTTGGCTTGATGACGTCAGCTTTTTCCAGGACTGCTTCAAGTCACAGCACCTCACTGCCACCGCCTGGCCGGATTGGCCCATCGCAGGCTTCTTGATGCCGAGGAGATCTTTCCAGGCTTCTGAGCTGGACATTCCATTTAGCCGGCTAACACCTCCCCCCACCGGGGGGGTTTAGTGTGCCCACCCTCTCTAAGGAGTGGTACCCATTTTATCTACTCACCGAAGCTTTCGAACCGCTGGGTGGACGGTGAGCTGGGGACAAGGCTGGTAGCTCACACCAGCACGGGCTAGAACTGACAGCAGTTCTGTTCAGTTCAGATGTTACTGTAACCAGAGGATAAATCCTCTGTGCCACCGCTCCCCGGGAGGCAGAAGAAGGGGAGGCAAAGAAATCCTGCTCTATGCACCATTGCTCATGGAGCTAGCTAAACAGAAGTGGGGGCTGAATGGATGGTGAGCAGATCCAACACAGCTCATGTGTCAGGATCTGGTCATTAGAATACTAAGGGTGTTTCCTCAAGAAAGTGTCCAGTCTGTGAGCTAGTATGATGTAATGGTTAGAATGGTATTAGGACATAGGTTGCAGTTGCTGCTCATTCACATCATTTACAGGTTGACCTTAGGCCAGTCATTCCCTTTCAGCCTGGCTTACCTCACAGAGTTGCTAGACGACAAAATGAAAGGGGGAGAATGCTATGTACTGCCTTGAGCTCTTTGGAGAATACTAGGGGTATTTGTTTATTATAGAAAAATTGTATGCTACCTCTTCAGAGACATGCTTGAGGCAGTTTCAGACTAAAACAAGGCCATTAAAAACAAGCAAAGGCATGAAATAAAGATTGAACAGCCTAAAATTAGATTTTAAAAAAATCCTTAGGCCAGAAGTAGACTATAAAAGAGTTAAAAGGAGAATATCACTCAATTGGAAGCCTGGGTGAAAAGAAATATTTTGGCCTGGTACCTAAAGGAAAGGGAGGTAGGTGTGAGGTGAACATCAAGGGGAAGGGTATTCCAAAGGTGAAGTGTCACCACAGAAAAACCTGCACCATCTGTGGAAGGTGGGCATAGGGACGAAGTCTTAAGAAGATGGTCTTGACTGGTAAACTATATACCATGGGTGGACACTGGAGAAAGTCCTTCAAGTGTTCCAGGCCCAAGCCATTCAAGGCCTTAATAGAATTGTTAAAAGCCTTGACTTGGATCCTACCAACTTTTCTGCTGGCACAGGGAGCTGAGATCTCACGTAATTATCCTCCTTACTGTGTCCCCCTACCTCAACATGGCTCTTTGTCCACTCAAGTCCAATGAATCCAAGCAGTTTTCATAGAAAACCAAGAAAGTTAACATTTTTACTTTAAATGGACCCGGGGGGGGGGGGGTTGCCCCTTTTAGTAACTGGTTTTAAAAGTGGGTGGATTTCTTCAAACTTATCTCACATTGAGACACCTTGTGTTTAATTTTAGTGGTGGAAATACTAGATTAAATAAGATGTTGAAATGAAAAAGCAATGAAATAATACTAAGAAGCAGCTCTTAAAATTCTTGTGAATGTTAATGTTAAAGTATTTTTATTTACTTATTTAGTACTGTTTTATCCAACCCTTCCTACAAGGGGATCAGCACAACATATGTCATTCTCCCCTCCTTCATTTTATTCTCACAACATTGCTGTGAGGTAGGTTAGGCTGAAAATGAGTGACTGGCCAACTGTCACACAGGAAACGTCATGGCTGAGAGGGGGATTTTGACCCTGGGTCTCCCACATCGTAGTCCACTAACCACTGTAACATACTAGGGTTGCCAGGTCTGGGTTGGAAAATATCTGGAGACTTTGGGGGGTTGATCTGGGAGAGGGTGGGGTTTGAGGAGGGGAGGAGCCTCAGCATGGTACAGTGCCATAGAGTCCACCCTTCAAAGCAGCCATTTTCTCTAGGGGAGCTGATCTCTGTCAGCTGGAGATCAGTTGTAAAAGCGGGAGATCTCCAGGCCCCATCTGGAGGCTGGCAACTATAACATACTGACTCTGTTTTTACACATGCCTGTGTTTTTTTGAAGGCTCAGACTAACATAATTCAGTTTATCTAGGATAAGTCAGTTTTTTAAGGACTGTAGCATGACAGGAAGAAAACAAGATAGTTTTAATAGAAGTTGATAACATTTATGCCGGAGGGTGAGGGTTTGAAATCTTATGTCATTCCTAAGAGCTGGAGATTTTGAAGAATGCAGATGCTTAGCCACATTGTTGGAACAGTAAGATAAGAGAAATTCTACATCCTTCCCTTCACCTCTCTTTTTTTTAAAAAAAAAAATTGAATACTGAGGCTGATAAGTACAAATGGTTGAGAGCCAGTGAAGTTTCTTTGTAAGTTCCTCTGGCGAAGCCTGTAGAGAAACGCACTGGGATCTAAAAGGTATGATAAACTGTTCTACCCTGTACCTTGTTCTCCTACCTACTGGTGAGGCCGTATTTTCTTCCTGAAGGCTGAAAAGTAGCCTTTGGTGTAATTTCCAGCATCTTGGTTTCAGAAACTTAGCAAAAGCAATCTCTCTCTAAGGTACGTGTCCCAATTTTAACTAATAGTAACTCAATCCTTTTTTAATTTTCTGAGAGAAGTGTCTTATCTGTAGTTTTTTTTTTTTTTTATGCTAAGGCTATGGCCATAGCCCAAACACACTCCTTTCAAGTCGGGTGTATCCCTTTCAACCTCAAACATGTCAAAAGCCTCCAGGTGTTCAAAAATACTTAACCTCCAGGGAGTTTAGGAAGCAAGGATTAATACTGCCAGAGTCTGACCTGGCAATTTTTCCCCATGCCATTGTAATAAGCAAATGTGTTTTTATGCTTGAAAACTGCATTCTGTTGGATCTAACTTTTTCCTCTTTTTTTTCTCTAGGTTGGCTGGGCTAACACTTTCTTTTGGAAGGCAAACCAGTGGGTAATGATTCACATGTTTCATTGCCGCATGATCCTTACTTACCACATGTGGTGGGTGTGCATTTCCAATTGGAACGCTGTGCAAGAAAACCTGGGATGCCTACATTTTACAGTTGTATTCACAGGGCTGAGCGCTGTCACATTTGTACTTAACCCTTACTGGACATACAAAAAGACTAAGCAGCTTGTCTGTCCTATTGACTGGAATTTTACCAATAGAACAATGAAAAACGGCTCCTCCAAAAAACTAAATGGTAAACTACTCCAGACGAAAGCGTTATGATGCTGAATTTGGGTGTCTTTTCCACACAGTAGTGAACTGTGGGTTAGACAGCTAGGACCATGAAGCTTACCCCCATCACCACTTTTAGGATATCTAAAACCTATTTATTTCTAGTTTCTTCTTATCAGTATTCTTAAATTAATGTTGTTGCTGCCTGAATGAGATATCTGTGTTACTGACAAATCCTGAACTTCAGTAATGTCTGAGTATGTCTGGTAAATATAGAAAGCTCCAGTTGAATGCAGGAGAGTAGGTAGTTGTTGTGATTGACCAGCCACTTTTAGAACTGCCCACCTGAACACCATCGCCAGGTGACAGACCAGGAAGCCGTTCTGTCTTGTTGCCATTTTTGAAAGATTTCCGGTGATGGAGGATGTTTCTGTCTTTTGCCTAAGAGCTCCAGATATTTATTCATATTTTCTAGAGTCACTCTTAGTTATTTCATACATTAACAAGCTTTCTATGAATTAGTCATTGTTCATGATGTAAACGTGAGTGTTAATACAATGAATGCTGACCATTAACTCAGCTTATCTTTAATATGCCAGTGATTGTGTGGGCCAAGATGTGATTCTTCCTGTAAAGCCTTAAAAAGTGCAAGTCTGGCTGTGCGACTATAAAATACATTCTGTTATCACAGGATGAGATTGAATAGTAGTTAAAAATTCAGAACACGGTTTCACGTTATGGGTACAATACCAAAAAAAGATGTTTCTAATCTTTTCTGTGGCTTGGGGTAAAGTTCTTAGTAAGCCAGCGTCAGTATTATGGGCTTCATTCTGTAGCTGTTTCCACATGGTTTATTCGTATCTGGTGTCCATACATGTGCTAACATGTCCCATTGCATATTCCAATAACAGTCTTCCTAGTCCTGAGCATGATTTTATTCAAACAGTATTGGCCTTTGACCTCTCATTGATCTTCCATCATCTTGTAGACTGTGGCAGAAAGGAGATAGTGGTCCACATTCTGGTGGACCTCCATCTGCCTACTGGTCACTGGGACTCTTGCAGAGAGTACTGGGTGAGGGGAAGCTGTGTCTGCAAGGCACTTATTAGTTTCTAATAAATGAGAAAGCAGGATTAAATTATGCCTTAACTATAGAGAATGCCCCGAGTATGCATTCTTGCTCTGTGAATATAACACACAATGAGGGTTGCCAAGTCTCCCCTGGCCTATGGCAGGAGATGGCAGGTAGGGTTACCAGATCCAGGTTGGGAAACTCCTGGAGATTAGGGGATGGAGCCTGGGGAGGACAGGGACCTCAGTGGGGAACAATGTCATTGCGTCCACCTTCTAAAGCATCATTTTCTCCAGGGGAACTGATCTCTGTAGTTGGGAGATGAGTTTTAATTCCAGGGGATCCCCATACCCCCCCCCCTCCGGAGGCTGGCATTCCTACACACAACGGTCGGTGGGTCATGGGAATTCTAGGAATAAGACTGATACAAGCTCACCACTGGTCATTTGGCAGGACGCATCTAACATAGGCTTGTTGTTGTTTTCCCTTGAAGGCACTGCCCTTTTTCAGTATGCATAGAAATAATCATGGCAAAGAGATATGCTTTAGAACTGAAAAGAGGCAAATTTAATACATTACAAGGGCAGGATCGTCTAAGTACTATTCTGACCTTTCTCATGTGTTCCTTATTTTGAGTTAATTTGTGGCAGTCTTACTCTAAATGTTCTCACCCCTCCCCCTTATCCCAGGAAGGGTACTTCCAGATATGATAATCAAACTGTGGTTCTTTTTGTTCATTGACCTTGGGTATAGTTACTGGCTCAGGGACAATGAATAACTACTAACCCAAATCTGAATTGTGCAATATAAATGTTATGCACAGCAACTATAAACTGCATCTTAGATGGGGCCAGTCAGGGAAGCTGATAAATACTAGAGATTGTGTTAGGTGACACATCAGTTTATTAAAATTATAAATTGCTCCAATACCAAATTTTAGTGAGGGTCACAAAAGAACTCATAAAATATAATGAATGAAATTTGATGATACTAAAAGACAAAGCCATCATCCTTCAACCCTTAAAGTCCAATTGGGACATTTAAATGTTCAGGTAAAATTTACATGGCATTGGGTATTGCACTGCTGTAATCATCCACCTCATGGATTTCCCTTAGAAAGGGAAGTCCAGGAAGTGAATTATCACAGTTACTCAGTATCCAGCATCCTGTGGATCCAGCCTTCCTCAAATGCTGCTGAAAGGTACTTTGCACATTCAAAAGCAGTCCCATTAACTGCTTTATACCTTTGACTACCAAAATGCCCTTAAGCTGTTGGAGAAAACTTTGAGCAGGAAGTGAATTATCACAGTTACTCAGTGTCCAGCATCCTGTGGATCCAGCCTTCCTGAAATGCTGCTGACTTTGCACATTCAAAAGCAGTCCCATTAACTGCTTTATACCTTTGACTACCAAAATGCCCTTAAGCTGTTGGAGAAAACTTTGAGGGTTCATTACATTTGTTGCATTGTAGAACACTGACACCTAGTGGTTTATGAGAAGTATAGCGTGTCTGTTTTAATAAGGAGAACATAAAATCAGATCATCTCAAATGTGGATGCCCAGCTCTTCATGAAGAATGCTGCAAGTGTTGGCTTTTTAAAATAAGCAGTGTTGGGTGTAGAAAAATATTTGTTTGCTGTTGGTTTTATTTATTTGCTTTGTTTATACCATCTTTCTCCTCAGTGGGGACCTAATTCCCCTTACAATGTTCTCCTCTCTTTTTATCCTCACAACAACCCCATTATGAGATAGGTTAGGCTGAGAGTGTGTAACTGAGCCCAAGGCCACCCAGTGAGCTTCCATGGCAGATTGGAACCTGGATCTCCCAGATTCCAGTCTGGCATCTGAATCGCTACACCACAATGACTAGGCTTCAATGAAATGTTCTTTTCACTAATGTCTGCTTATGAAATTAGTAGATTAAAATGAACCATTAAGATAATTGTTAAAGTTGAGCAGAACTATACTTTAGAGGTAAGTTAATCACTCCATTCTGTTTTCTACATGAGCTATAAATGGGCATTAATGGAAATGTGCAGTTGTGAAGGTCCTATGATGGCCTATAAAACAGAGCATTGTGTGCTTGCCATGGTACTTATTTGAGAGGAAGGATATATGCAGGAGTATTGTTTTCCTTTAAGGAGGTATAATAGTCTAAGTTGCTGGTTCCAGTCCAGCATAGGATCGCAATTACTTGGAATTGTGGTTTATTTGGCAGTAGGCTGAAGGTGAAGGCCTGGGATTCTTGATATTCTCTGTTATATTTAAGTCTCTTTCCCCAGATGCTGACTTCTAGCTGCTGGTCCCTTAAGTCAGAATGGAATGATTTTCATTAGGCAGAGCAATGCTACGAGTCTAGTTTTCAAGGTATGCATTCCAGATAACTTCAAAAAGTTAGGCTATGAAATCAAGATTTTAGGTAGCTGTGTTGGTCTGCAGAAGAATTTTCTGAGCAGAAATCATGTAATACTTTTTAGGATCAATCAAAATATCACAAAACAGTCAGCAATTTCTTGAGCTCTCTTGAATTCTTCATCAGGAAACAGAGCAATCTCCCACTGAAATTATTTCTCAGGAAAAATGGGGGGAGATTTTTTGGTCATTTCTTCGCTTGTTTTCTTCTTTGTTCCAACAGCCTTTCGTGTATCAGGAAATTGATTTTGCAGCCAGCATCAACTAATGAGACATCCTATATTCAATTTATAGTCCTGGCAGCTGCAGATTTGGGAGCCCTAATGCCTTTTCTGTCCCTGATCCCCATCTTTTTTTTGTAATGGTTTCTGTTGAATATCCAGACTGATGAAAGTTCTGGAGAACAATAAGGTCACTTAACTATTTTGCAGTATTTTGTATATTCTGATAAAAAGCTCCTAGACAACTTTTGCTGTGAAATAAGGGATTGCAGGTTTTAGTAAAACTTGAGTGCAAGGCCATGGTTTTGTATGCAGAAGATTGGGGGGGCTGCCCCCTACATTTCTGTTGTCCTTTGGCCCTCAGACCACTAGACTGCCCCTTAATAGAGAACTGGAGGTGATAGATTAGATTGTCAGTTGGCCCTTGCTAGGGCTCGTAGAGTACGCTCTATGTTAATTTTTGGTACTGTGCTTCCTTCTATCCTTCTGTCTTAATTTTATCGATTGACAGTTCTTTTTATCTTTTTATCGATTGACAGGGCTTTTCTTTTGGCTAGACTAGGTTAAATGCTTTTCCCTTCCCTGTTTTGCTATGTAGATTCTGAGGAATAGTTTACTCGGACAGGTTGTGTCATTATAGATCTGGTGGGATTGAATACACAGTCTTCTTTGACTGTGTATTGGTGGCCGCTTTGAGAGATTTCTGGCTTCAGCTGGTGATCGCTTCTGGTGTTTCTTTTGCTTCCTCGGCTTCTCCACTAGCTGTTTTGGCCGCAATGGCTTCAATGCAATGGTGGAACTAGAGGAATTTATGTTGTCCAAAGACTGTTGGGTCATCGGATTATTTGAAATAAAGAAAGGTATGGAGAAGATCCCAGGTTCAGCCACCACCCCCTATATTGGAAAGCTGCCCTGAACACCAGGTCGTGACGTCATCAAATGTAGTCATAACAGTCCCTGAACTCTGCAGTTGCCAGCTACTTTCACAAGTGTTTTAACTTGCAGTTTCTCGTGTACTCAGCAAGATATTCTCTTGATTCTTTCACTGCAGTATTCCAGATTCTTCACATTAGCTTACACTGTTACTGAGTTCAGTTTCCCTTGCATATTTGAGTGTATGTTGCGTATAATTTACAAGCATATAATAGTGGAAAGTGGTGGATGTCTGTTGTATGATGGAAAGAACAAAACAACAACAATGAAACCACTGCTCTGCTAAAATACTAATTTACTGTGATCTGTCAGATCACCACTGCAGAACGGTTGTGAAAAGAACAGGTTCATGTGGTTTAGTCAAACAGCAGACCAAAAACAAACTGAATTAGCAAAGCTAATCTTAATATGAAGATTCTCTTCTTTAAATTATTACTTGGATGGCCAACAGTAATAGTCACAGTAGACTATATCCGTGCTATAGAGTC